AGAACTTTGTACACAGATACAAAAAGATCATCGATTTTTAAATTGGTCAAAGATTATTTTGAGGTAAAAGAAATTCCCCAATGTAAGTACTTGTGCAACAGATGGTGCTCCAACCATGTCTGGTTGTCATACTGGATTTCTGGGTCACCTTAAAAAAGTAGTACCGGAAATTATCTCACCATTCATTATGTCATTCATCGTCAACTTTTGGCTGCGAAAAATTGGTTATTTCTGGAATCAATAAAATAAAAGCTAATTCTCCTAATAACTGTTTGTTCCGAGAACTTTGCCATGAAAATGATAAAGATTTCGAATTCCTGCTCCTACATACAGCTGTGAGATGGCTTTCACACTGTCTTGGAAACTGAGCCGTNCGGTTACTGAGTTTCTCGACACCACTGATCCTGTTTTAAGTGAGAGTTTGAAGCAACGCAAGTTGGAAACTGCGTACCTCACTCATAGTTGTGAAAAAATGATGAAACTCAACGTAAAACTTCAAGGAAATAAAATGAAGGAAATCATATCTTCATTCATCGCCAAATTTGATATCTACAAGTCAAACATTGGTCGCAAGGAGCTAATGCAATTTCTAACCCTTAAGTGTTCAATGGCAGATATCGAGATTCTCGAAAATAAAATCTTAAATTTTACTGATCACCTTGATCAGTTATGGAGTCAAGATTTAAAGATTTGATGAAATTAGAAATTCTGGATTGGATTTTCGATCCCATCTCTTTTGAAGTTGTGGATAAGCTCACTTCCTCTTTGTAGTTTTTAGATTTGAAGTATGACTGTGAGGCTAAAGTCGTCTTTTAAAAATACGGTTACGAGTTAGCTTGGGTAAAGCTTATGGACACTTATCCACAATTGTGGAAATAAACTGAGTCGCTTCTCATCTCGTTCCCGTCAACATATTTAGTGGAGAGAAGATTTAGTTCTGTCTTCCAGCTGCTCACAAAGCAAAGAGATAGGTTGGACATTTTCTTCAAAGGAGACCCGCTTTTAAATCTGACGAGCATAAAACCTGACATTCAAGCTTTAACTTGAAATACACCAAGCACAGGGCAGTCATTGAAGTGGCAAAAATGTACTTTCTCCCTCTTCATTTTTTTTCTCAAATTTTAGTTGTTAACGTTTTAACTTTTTCTTGATTACATTAAAATATGAATTTAAAAAAATTCACTTTTGTTTTGATTATTCCGTTTTAAATATCATTTCTTTTTGAAAAAAAAAAGATGCACATTTTTTTTTTAATTAATAAAAATGACAGGTTAAATGTGCCTCCTTATTTGCAATACAATTTAAATTAAAATCAAATAACATGGCATATTATCAGTGTTTGGTTGCTCACAAGCAACAATAAATGGTTTTTTGAGCAAAAAGAGAAAGGGGCGATAGCTGTCTGCCAACCCCAAGAGGGGGGCGATGGTCCACAAAAGGTTGGGAACCACTGTTCTAGCACAAAGACATAATATATTATCATCAAGGACATAATATTTTATCATCAAAGACACAGTATTGTA